TATATTGACGCATGCAGCAAAACATGTACAACTTTGAAAAGTGTGTTGAGACAACGATAAGCCGATGGCATCTATTTCTCTCAGAATCATATACGGAACAAGAGATAAGCCGATGGCATCACCGTATAATTAGAGCAAATTCTGATGACGCCGGGGACAAATAATTGCGAGATCAGAGCAAACAGAAGGCTTTTCTTCTACCCCAGTAAACATAATTTATGCACTGAAGATCCATCAGGTGACCAAAATATATCTAAATGACATTAAGTTAAAGATCCCACTTTGAGAAGGAAAAAGGTTGGCTACTTGGGAAGGGGCGGCCTGGGAAAGTAGGCCGAACTGAGTGAAGCCAAGGTGGTCATTGGATCTCGGAGTATGTGGGGTACTTGGGAAATGGCTACTTGGGAAGGGGTGACGTGGGAATGTTAAGATCCCACATTGAGGAGGAAAAAAGGTGGGTGAACATTGGATGGAAAAAAGGTGGGCATGTGATTTATAAAAGGGCTTAGTGTAACGAATTTAACATTGGAAACGTATTGAAGAGGTTCTAGGCTTATAAATGAGGAGAGTCCCTCCAACTAATAGATTAATCTTTTGGGTGTAAAACTCTCCGTCCATGACGTTACATACCCTCCCTTGACAAACCTTTTTTTCAAAGAAAGTTCTATCTAAATTCACAAAATGACCACTGCCCAGTTCAATTCTTGTTAATTTGGGAGTGGAGTTACTGTCGCATGACAATTGAAATGTAAATGATACAATAGCCAGCTTAGCTGACGTACAAAAGCTGACCTCACATATGTCTCCACATTGTTATATATCAACCTAATCGGGAATCCTAGCCACATATGTGAAAATGCAAAGCAACAAAAAGTTACCGCCTAATTGATTGCTTTATTCCAAGCCTGTAGGGGAGTTTCATTGTTTCATGATTTTTTAGCCTAATAAGGTGGAGCCAGTGTGAATTAAAGTTAATAGTCTGAGCGCAAAAGGAAAACATTTTACTTCCAAATTCCATGTGCATGCATATAAAGCATCTGCTTTAAGAGAAAGAGATGATGATGATACTTAGCACCAAAATGTTTGCTATGCAGGAGAGATGGCACCGTCACCCATGCAGCCATGTTCATTTTTTGACCGGAGCTTGGCTGACGGAACCATTTCTCCAGCATAGAAAACCTTGTGCTCTGCATGCCAAAACAAGCTTCTCAGAGAAGACCAAGTTTTTTGAGGTGAGCTTGGTTAGAGTATTCTTCTATTGTTTCTTGTTTTGTAAACAAATTGTTCTTCTTTTGTTTCAGTTTGTAGGCAACATGGGAAAAGGAACGAATCTTCAAGATGGTTAACTCTATTTATACTTTAGCTGCAAACATTGTTTTCTCTGGTTCTAATCCTAAGTTGTGGACCTAACCCATCATATTGTTTGCTGTTTAGCACATGGTTAAATTACAAGAGATAAACTATCCTATCTCCTAATGTATTCCAACAATCTCATTCTACAAAAAGGAGAAATGATATTCACATATCATTTTCAAGGTATTATGTAATTGGATATAAAATCCATTCTTATTAGTTTCTTAGACAAAGTTGGATCCCCTCTCTATTTGAAATTGGTGATATCTGGACATTTTTTGTTCACTCTTTGTTGTTTCTCTTGTTATTAACTACCAGGTGTAGTCTTGTGTTTGTAAAATAAAAACTCATATCCTAAGAGTATTAAGAAGATGGAAAAAGGAACCAACTTGCCACTAGAATCCCATTTTCCTGACTGACTATTTGCAAAATAACATGTGGGTTTTATCTTCTTTGGATCAAACATCCCATCTATCCATTTTTCAAAATCATCAAATTGACAAGAGAATATTTAACATGACAGGTATATGCGTGTCCGTTGAATCAAAGGAGGAAAACCTCTAATACTAAAAGTTTTCATCAATGTTTTAAAATCCTAACCAGATTGGTCCAACCGAGACCTAGCAACCTCTCTGGCTCAAGTTACCATTTTTCACTATTCACATACTCCCTAATTTGATACCGACGAACGAGGCGCTACCAAGTACTGAGGTTAGAGTGCTTTTATAGAGTGGAGGCCAATGGTTCAAGGGGTGGTGTCAGATTGAATTTTAGACACCGAGATAAGTCAGAATTTGGCCGAAAAATTCAACCTAATATGCGAGTCACGGCCGGCGAACGGGAGGCTACCAAGTGCCAAGGTTATAAAGGCTTTGTAGAATGGAGGCTAGTGGTTTAGGTGGTGGTGTTTGACTGAATTTTGGATGTCGAAATCAGCTGGAATTTGATCAGAAAAATCAACCAAATCGCGGCAGTATACACAAGTCACAGTCGACAAACAAGAGGCCACCAAGTTTCAGGGTTAGAAGGGTTTTGCAGAGTGAAGGACGGTGGTTCAGGTGGTGGTGTCAATTTGAATTTTGGCCATCGTAATCAGATGGAATTTGGCCAGAAAAGTCAAAACCCAAACAGATAATAGGGGTGTATTTGCTAGATTTCAAACCTATAGGGGTGTATTTAGATTTCAAACTTATAGGGATGTATTTGGTAGATTTTAAACCTGTAAGGATTGATTTTACTTTTTAGGGGTATGTTTGCAATCTTTTAAACTATTTTTTATCACCGATCAAACCACCGGTTTAACCGGTCAGACCAATCAATCCGGAACCCGATGGCCTTACTGGGTCCCTTAACGGTCAGGTTTTAAAACGAAGGTTTTCATAAACTCGTGTAAAGAAAAAGTATCTAACACTATGGAGGGTTTGCAGTTAGCACTGCTAAATTTCCATTAGTACAGGGGGATAACAAATCATGAAAGTCATAATTAGAAGCATGAGGCAACTTGATGCTTTTCTTCTTACTCTTAACAAGGATTTTAATACAGATCAAAATACTGGGATGCTATTTCAAGAAGGTTAAAAAGTTATTAACGAAGAACCCTTTTCTATTCATCATTAGAAGCATGAGGCAACTTGTAACTTGATGCTTTTCTTCGTACTCTTACAAGGATTTTAATACATGTCAAAATACTGGGATGCTANAAACTATCCTATCTCCTAATGTATTCCAACAATCTCATTCTACAAAAAGGAGAAATGATATTCACATATCATTTTCAAGGTATTATGTAATTGGATATAAAATCCATTCTTATTAGTTTCTTGGACAAAGTTAGATCCCCTCTCCATTTGAAATTGGTGACATCTGGACATTGTTTTTTCACTCTTTGTTGTTTCTCTTGTTATTAACTACCAGGTGTAGTCTTGTGTTTGTTAAATAAAAACTCATATCCTAAGAGCATTAAGAAGATGGAAAAAGGAACCAACTTGCCACTAGAATCCCATTTTCTTGACCAACTATTTGCAAAATAACATTTGGGTTTTATCTTCTTTGGATCAAACATCCCATCTATCCATTTTTCAAAATCATCAAATTGAGAAGAGAATATTTAACATGACAGATATATGTGTCTCCGTTGAATCAAAGGAGGAAAACCTTTACTACTAAAAGTTTTCATCAATGTTTTAAAACCCTAATCGGACTGACCAGTCGGACATGTCCATCCGGGACCCGACAGCCTCTTCGGTTTGAGTTACCATGTTTCACTATTCACATAATCCCTAATTTGAGACCAACGAACGAGGGGCTACCAAGTGCTGAGGTTAGAGGGCTTTTATAGAGTGGAGGCCAGTGGTTCAAGGGATGGTGTCAGAATGAATTTTAGATGCCGAGATAAGTCGAAAATTGGCTGAAAAATTCAACCCAATATGCGAGTCACGACCGACGAACAGGAGGCTACCGAGTGCCAAGGTTATAGAGGCTTTGTAGAATGGAGGCCGGTGGTTTAGGTGGTGATGTTTGATTGAATTTTGGATGTCAAAATCAGCTGGAATTTGATCAGAAAAATCAACCCAATCACGGCAATATACACGAGTCACAGTCTGCAAACAAAAGGCTACCAAGTTTCAGGGTTAAAGGGGTTTTGCAAAGTGGAGGACGCTGGTTTAGGTGGTGGTGTCGAATTGAATTTTGGCCATCGAAATCATCTGGAATTTGACCAGAAAAGTCAAAACCCAAACAGATCATAGGGGTGTATTTACTAGATTTTAAACCTGTAAGGATTGATTTTATTTTTTAGGGGTATGTTTGCAATATTTTAAACTTTTTTATCACCGATCAAACCACCGGTTTAACCAATCAAACCAGTCAATCCGGAACCCGATGGCCTTACCGGGTCCCTTAACAGTCAGGTTTTAAAACGAAGGTTTTCATAAACTCGTGTAAAGAAAAAGTATCTAACACTATGGAGGGTTTGCTGTTAGCACTGCTAAATTTCCGTTAGTACAGGCGGAAAACAAATCATTAAAGTCATAATTAGAAGCATGAGGCAACTTGAAGCTTTTCTTCTTTACTCTTAACAAGGATTTTAATACAGATCAAAATACTGGGGTGCTATTTCAAGAAGGTTAAAAAGTTATTTACGAAGAACCCTTTTCTATTCATCATTAGAAGCATGAGGCAACTTGTAACTTGATGCTTTTCTTCTTACTCTTACAAGGATTTTAATACAGATCAAAATACTGGGATGCTATTTCACGAAGGTTAAAAAGTCATTTATAACCACAAAGTAATGCTTAGGAAAAGAAGCTTAGCTCGAAGGCTTGAGAATTTGCCCTACTCCATTTTCTAAATGGAGCGGGAATGACAAAAAACCCTTTTCTATACTAAGTGTCATTTGGGGAATATATGCACACGTCTTTTTTTGCCCAAAGAAATACTGTACTTTGAAGATTGCCAGGCAATTCTACTTCATGAACCCGGCTCTTGCCTCAACCTAAAAACTCACTTCACCCATTGAGTTTGATGACTTAGTTCCATTTCTCATAAAGCAGTGGCTAATTTCATGATTGATTCAAACATACAAAATAAATACCAAGCAAATCAATTTCCTTCCTATTGATAGTCAATGCCTGTCGTATGCAGAAAGGGGCCAAAGCCAAGAAAGAGGAGGTGTGCATTAATGTTTTAAAAGATATCATAATATCCCTTGTTCTCAGGAAAAGCCAGGATTTCACAATCAGAGGCTTTGGTCTGTCATAGGACATATCACAGCTTAGAAAGACCACTTTAAACAAAAGTAAACATGCATAATTCCTAATAATGTTTTGTTCAACTCCATAAGCGATACAGGGAAAGAAATTTCAAAGAAACTTATCCCACGTCAGTTACCATGATCCCTCAGCACCCACTGTTGGATTTTCAAAAGCAGAAAATCCCCAGAAGGTCTTCAGTGAGTAGGGCTGGGATATTGTCACACCTTCTTCAGTGATCTTAGCAATCTGAAATTGTTCAAACAAATCAAGTCAATTTCTAGAAACATTTTGCTCAGTTAACCAAATTAATTTACAAGGTAAAACAACAAATCTAAAGGTTGAGGGAGGTGGTTTCAAACATATTATCAGTGCACCCAGAGATCTTGCAAAATGATTCAATTAAAACATTAAAAGCAGTACTTGATTGATTTACAAGAATATCATTGCATAAACCATTAGTTATAACATGAGAATGGAAGGGAATAAATAAACAAACCTGCAACTTATTGACAGCAGATCTATCACGATAGAGGAGCACACGCATGCACTTTTCAAGTAACTTGACACCATCTTCAAAGCTCAAGTTCTCGTGCCACTCATCGCGAAGAATTGGTCTAGCAAGGTGATTCCCAAACCCAGTTGCTACATGGTTATCCTCGAAGTTGACCCCAATCATTGAGACCTAGAAAGTCACGGTAATAAAGAAAGGTGTCATTGTCAAACCATTAAAAAATACACAATATTATTGTTGATCATTAGCATTCAAATATAACAATGAGTTACCATCCCAAGATACTTCTGTCCTTTTTTCACTCCACCAAGCACGAGCGAATTCCACAGAGGGTCAAACTTGTTACGCCTGTTATACATTACCCTGGTTAAATAGTTGTGCACTTCTTTAGGCCCCAAAGAGTTCCCATCATCCCACATATTGTCATACAGGCTGCAAAATCAAACATCAAAAACCAAAAATCAGATAGTTATGAGTTTCAAACAGAACAAGTAAGAATAACACCCAGTTTTTCATTTCTCTAAATGAGCCAACACTACTTACATAAGCTCATCAAGATAACGCAAAATCTCCTGGAAATCACTTATTTCTCCACTTGCACCAAGAAGAGAATGCTTCCCAACTGGCTTCAACCGATCCACAGTCTTGTATCGCAATGTGGACCCATAGGAACCTGCATTTTACATTATTATACAAGCACATAAGTCATTCTTTCTACTCAAAGCAATGAGAAATGATACAGATGACATATGACAACACAATGAGCAATGACACAGATGATATATGACAAAGAATCCTAAATACTCTGAATTTGAAACAATGCTGAGGAAGTTAACAGAAAATAATAAAGAAAATATATATCACAACAACTTTGTCATTAGAACAAAAGTGAGATCCGGGTAGACAGTAACCTTTCCGCACAATACAAAACAGACATGCTACCACTGATGTATATCAAAAAGGGAATTCAAAAGTTCCGAAGGCATGTGGAAAAAACACAGAAGGAAAATATGGGCACAGCTCAGAGATAAGCTAAACAATGAAGAATATAAAGAAACAACACAAGCAACCAAAGAAAAGATGATAGTAGGAATAGTGTCTCACAAACTAGAAGAAGAGGTGGAAAAAACGTTGACATGACAAAGAGCATATAGAATATGCTTGTGTACTAAACCAAGGGATTGAGAACAAGAATGTGTATACTAGTTTGCACTAAGTCAAGGACCAAAAAAATGAAACTTGAATTTGAATTTTTTGTTGGAAAAGGAATAAAAGGAAGAAAAGTGATAAATGTTGAGATATCCTGGTAACTTTAAAATCTTTCAAACATAACATGAACATTTTAGACATTACTTCCTGCATTTTTTTTAAGGTTTCCCTCTTTGGCTCCACCCATAACAAGAATCATTTCTAATGATAATACGGAAATTAAAATTTGATAGATGGATAAAAGAAGCATCCTAACCATTGATCATATGAAAATTATTTAACCAATAATACAAAGTTATGGAATAATCCTTTTATTTTTTTGGTCAAAACTCAATAGCATGATAAACTTCACAAGCCTAGGCAACAAAGCAGAACATTTCATATTCACAATTTTAAGAAATTTGCTCAAGCATTTTGAAAAGGAGTGACAACGTAATCCCAAATCTTAAGCTCTATAAAAGATGAGATCAAACAAAAGAAAAAAAAAAACTCGAAGCAACTTGTATCTTCAATAAATTCACTCTTTCTTTGAGAAACATATTCGATGCAAAAAAATTCCACCAAAAACTTTGCAACTAATGAAAGCTACCTGATACTAATGAAAGCAGCATTAACTAGCTTACGAGTCAGTATTATAAACGAAAAGCAAAAGACACACTTCAATCAAATTAGATAACAACCGTAAAGCTTCCCAAGTCTAAAATAGTCCACCCCATGCAATTTTGAATATCAAGAAAAAATTATTATTCTCTCTTAAGTTACAACCCTCGAAAACTTAAGTGGGATCACTCAAACTGACCAATACTCAGTTTATTATCACTATTTGTCCCCGATCAACCAAACAAACAGCAAATAATTAATTGAGGAACAACATTACTTCAAACCCAAAACAAAAATACAGCACAATGAAAAAATTAAGTGCGCTAAATCAAAATATTAAATGTTAAATGTAAATGATGAGTATATGAACCAACCTCCCATGTCAGCAGCCATCAAAATCCCATCTTTGTACTTCAAAGCTACTACAGATGTACCAGTCACATATGGGTACCTGCAAAAATTTCATAAATAAAAATATATATGTATGTATGTATGTATATATAGGGTTTTCCAAGTAATGCTCAAGCCTCGTTATTTCACTTCTAAACCCTAGCTCTAAAGACACAGAAACATAAATAAAGAGAGAATGAGAATGAAATAGTACTGAGTTCTTTGAATGTTGTCGTTAGAGCCCATAAGGCCCTGCGGGGCTTGGTTCGATTCCATTATCTGCATAAACAACAGTGGAAAATAGTGTTTTGAGTGAAGGATCTAAATCGGAGAAATTGTGAGACAGAAAATGATGAAAAGAGAGTAAGGACTTACACCAATTAGTTTGGATTCACAGTAATTGAGAGTTGTTAACGAAACGCAGAGCTGAGGCAATCGATCTGATGATTTCTGGTTTTATAAGAGGAAACGGGTTTTCCTTTTTGCTCAAGAAAAGATCATTTTCGGAGCTCTCCCCTGAAGTTTTACAATACTTCATAGCCCCCAAAGCTTCGAAAATTCTAAAAGACCTGCCCTAGATCCTTGGCTCTTGCTTAGAAGCAACTAATTAACTTAAGTTTGAAGGGTAAAAGTAAGGACTCATTTTACTTGAGAATGTATATACACCAAGGTTCTGAAACCAACTAGGTGTCACCTGGCCAAGGGGCCAAGTCTCGATTTGCCTGGTCCGACCGGTTAAATCGACAATCTGCTGGTGATCCAGTAAGTTTGAATATCAAGTTCTTGTAATTCAGCTCACTGCTCGCGAACCCTTTGTAACTCGGCTAATAACCTAGAATACTTATATAAAAGAAAACAGTGGATGTATGAATCGCTTTAAGCATCCAAACCACTATAAAATTATTGTTATCTCATTTATTATTCATTTTTTGCATTTTTTTATAACCTTGTCCTAACTCTCTAAAATTCGTGTAATTTTTAAGACATACTTTTCACTTTGCATGTGCGCCGTTGTTAGTGTCAAAATCAAGCATCAACATAAAGTTACACCGAGTTACTTATTACTCAATCACAAAATAACATAATTTATATGTATCACTAATATAATATCATATTAATTATTATATAAAACTTGAGATGGGTAACACTGTTCTATCGGGTATAGAGGGTAACACTGTTCTATCGGTATAGAGGAGAATGTTACTTTACCCCTCACGACAATTCAAGTAGACACAAATATATCCACAAGTTTTAGAAAGTAAAAAAAGCTCCCAACAATTTTACCTAGAGGTGCGAGATTAACAAAAGATGTGAAATTATAAAATTAAAAAAATTAGAATATTTATTTATATATTTAAAAAAAAAAAAAAACTTGTATTAATTTACAAAATCAAATATACAAATTTAGTCTTTTCCACATTATGGGTGTAAGCCAAGCTTGAGCCGCTCGCAGTAAAAGCTCGAGCTCAAGCGGCTCAGCTATAGTGTCGAGCCGAGTTCAAACACACCAGTACTCGGCTCAACAAGCTTGCAAGTTTGAGGGTATATGTGGTGGTTTTAACACTAATAGGGGGCTGTAGTTATTTTTCAATTTTAAAATGACAAACACATCCATATTTGAAATATGTAAAATCGAATTGGGGATTTAGAACATAAAAAAACCCTAAAACGATTTCCCCCGTTCGCCATTCTCTTTGTAATTTTAGTTCTCAAAGACAAATGCAGAGTTTTTTGTCATTACTGGTGATTTCCATCGCCCTCGCTCCATCCCAGAAATGTCCCAATCAAGCTATCACATATGTTTCTCCCAATATGCATCACATCTAAATTGTGAAGCAGTTTCAAGGTTGCCCAATTCTTTAAATCCAAGAGAAGAAAAAAAATACTTCTCTTCGACCAATTCAGTTTTTCTGCATTTCGTTTACGCTTCAGATCATTGTTGTTTGGGTTCCTACCAGGAATTTTCTGAGGCAGATTTACCAACTGTGCCATAATTTGTCACTTGAATAACATTTTAGAGCATTTCCTGATTCCCGTTGACCATCAAGTAATATGCTCCTTCAATATGGATGGTCCATTAGTAAAAACCTTTTTGCCCCATATACCCTATATCACTACGTAGTGCATCTGATGATGTTTCATCATTGTACACCGAGCACACCTTATAACCTTTCGTACTCCGACCTGAAAATGTACTGTATTCAGGGAAATCGTTTATTGTCCACAACAACACTGCGCATAGTGTGAATGTTTTTTTTTCTCTGTGTCCTAAGTCGTTGCTCCATCTTTCCACAACTATTTTAATTAAATCAACGATCAATGGTTGCAAATAAACATCTACGTCTTTACCTAATGAACTTGGTCCCGAAATTAACAAAGTCATGAAGAGGTTTTGTTCTTTCATGCACTTCCAAGGAGGTGGATTATATGGTTTGGTGGCTATTACCGGCGACATGCTCTATGGATTATGCATGTTTCCATGTTTGTCTCTTCTTGCATTACCAATTCTTTTATCAGCTCTTCTTTTCAACTCAATTAAATTACACCACAAGCTCACTTTTTCAAGAAGGTGAAAAAACGAAAAATATAAACCCATACTTGAAAAGTGTGGTTGAATACTTGAAACAAATATCACTTCCTAGGTTTCACATAATAATTGCCAAATACATAGATGATAAGAAACAAAATATTATGAAGTTTTGCTATATATCTCTTTTAATCGTTCTTTGAATTTGAATCTAAAAACAATTAGCATCTCATTGTAGAAGGAAAGTGAATGTATGAGATATTTACATATATGCCTTTGCGTTGTAGAATGTTCTTTTATTATTCTATAGCCATACATAGAGCCACAAAAGAGCCGAGCAGTTCGAGCTTGACTCGAGTGATTCTCGAGCTCGAATAGTTTGATTGTTTCACGAGCTGAGTACTAAGCTTGGCGTAAGCCTCTGGTACTCGGCTCGTGAGCTCGCGAACCCTTTAAGGTTCACGAACTCTTTGAAGCTCGTGAGTCTAATAAGGCACGTGTATATAAAAAAACCTCAAATACAATATCCCAAATTCCCATTTCCCAAATGACAAAATTAGGGATCTCCATCACCCAACCTCCCAAAATTGCAACGCGAAGCTGCTCCAATCTCCAGTTCTCCACTTCATCACCAAGTTGACCATGCCATCATCAAGGAAACCATCTCACCCCACATTAGGTTTTGAAGATCTGGTAATGAATTTGTTAAGTGTATATTTAAATTATGAAGTCTGATTGGATGCAAATAAGGATTTTTTATGTGGGTGGTTGTAATTTTATGGATTTGTTGTGGGAGGTACTAGTTCGAAGGATTTGTAATGGAAATTGTTGCCTTAGTGGGTTTTTTAAATTAGCTTGTGTTTGAGATAATTTTATTTTATTATTTTGGGAAAAAACGAATAAACTTGAGTAGGGTGCTTGAGTTTCATTATACTCTTACTCAAAATTGATGAGAATAATAATACAACACTTCCCAAATGATATTATAAATTTTTCATCTCAGGTAACGTATCATCTCATATGGCTTTAATGTGTAAATAAATAATTGATATGATAAATGATATATCAATATCATATAAGATAACACATGATTTGTGAGGAGGAATTTGGAATATTACTTGAGAAGTGTAATTTTACTATTACAAGAAATAACGAGGGACTTTTTATTCGCATATTTTGAAGGGTCTCAAATGAAATTATAAGGACCACCACAGGTCCTCATAATATTACACATATTTGTATATAAATTGACGTCGTTTTTTAAGACCCTAAATATGTATTTTTATTTCAATTCTAACCCTAAGAATTTTGGTAAAAAATTCCTCATATTTCTCGTTAATTTATATAATACCCAACTATAGTATCGAATCTATAGGTATATAGAACTTAATTTCTCAAGTTTATCCCAGATCAATGCTTTAGTTTATTCGTCATTTTTCAGAAAATTGATTTCTCGAATAAATTTCATGATATTAACATTTCAATTCAGTTTTTTCTTTTACGTTAATCATATGAATTATGGGATAATAGTTGACACATTGAGCTATCACTATCAGTGTCACTAAAGTAATAAAACCCATTACATAGTGACATAGTAGGAAATTAAGGATTCGCCAAATTTCTATCACAAATTTCTTTTATTTATTCATATATTTTTCCCTTTTATTTCAGAAATAATCACAGATTTATATCTTCTTATTTTATTGTCAAATAATATCATACATGTATTAATTTAATTCTGCTAATAAATTAAAATATCAAAATATTTAATTACTAATTTGAATTCATATTTAAATAGTTTTAAATTATACTAAAATTAATCTAACAATATAACAATTAATTATAAAATATTACTATTTAGTTTTTTTATTTGTATTTAACTAATACTATAATTAATTAGCAAATATAATAGATGTTATGGGGGGAATAAATACACCAAGGGTAAAATGATAAAATCACACATGGGCCAACGAGCCCAATTAACAAAGAATGGGCAACAAACAGTAAAAGCCTAAAGTGAGGCAGAACTGTAAGCATAAAATAAATCCAATTCGACTTAGGAATTAGGATCAAGACGTAACCAAAGAGTCAAGGTCTAAGTTGGCGGCTCAGAATCTCATCATGGATTCATGGCAGCTTCCTACACGCTGACAAGGTGAACCCACTAGAGAAACTTACTCAGGTGATTTTCTCTAAGCTAGCAGTTTACCTTCCTATGGAAAAGAATTGCCACCAATCCATAGCCATGCGATCATGTCATAAAGGGGCGTTAAGGTCAGAGAATATTGGATTACTGAAAAGTTAAATTACTTTAAAGATTACTAGAAATCTTTAGAAAAATGTGTTTGGTTAATTGGTGGGTATGTTATATTAATGTGTTTGGTTGGAAGGAATAAATTTGTGGGTATGTTATTTAAATTACTGAATTGTCCTGTAATTAAATATTATTATTATATTATTTTTTTAATATTAATTATTATTTGGACTATTATAACCCCTTGTATTTAAAAACTTAGCAAAAATAACCTCATAATAAAAGTTTGGAAAATCAACAAAGCACCCCTACCAACCCAGCCACTACCGGCCACCGACAACCACCACAAGCCGTCGACAACTGGTAACCTAACAGCGCACAGAAAGCAGGAAATGGCCTTCATGCGCTGTATGGCCATTTCTGACCAGAGATCTGGTCGGAAACGGCCAGACGTGACAGATCTGGCCTTTAACGGCAAGATATCTGGCTGGAAATGGCCATATCGACGCACGACGGCCATTTTCGGCCTTCCATGCACCATTCCGGCGACAGCGGCGGTAGTTGCCGGTGGTAGGTGGATGGGGGTGGTGGCTTGGGTGAGCTGTAATTTGTTTTGAATTCAAGGGTAATTTTGTTCAAAAAGTTAATTAATTGGGGTGAAATAGTAAAAGTCAT